TAGTCTGGGAACTGGGTGGGAGAATACGCCCCATTAGTTCTCCTGGATCACTTTAAGGCTTTCGATACTGTCAGCCATGATCTCCTTCTGGATTGCTTGGCAAGTATGGTCCTCGGAGTAGATTTTGCAGAGCTTTCGGTCCCTTGTGATGAGTTGGATCTAGAGGGTGGTGTTACATGAATAGTTTTGACTGCACAGCCATTGGCTTAAGGTACTGTTAAGGGTTCTATCTTGTCCCATGTTATGTACTGTTTACATGAACAGTACATGAAATTTCAGAGGTTGGCCATTCAGAGTGTTGGGAGAAAGAGTTATCAATATGCTGAAGTCACCAATACATTGGCTTCACAGCCCTATTTTGTTCTTATCAACTAAAACAAGGAAACAATTGTAACCCTTGAATATTGCCTGGGTTCAACAGAGGGTTGGATGGGAGTGACAAAGCTGATATGAAATCCAGCCAAACAAAAAGCACTGTTGGTTAGTAGGAAACCTGACTTGGGGATTGGGATCCCACCTGTTCAGGAATGGGATGGGGCTCTCCATAAAAGATCAAGTTTGCAGCTTGGGAGTGCACCTTCGTCTATACGGTCCCTGGATCTTCAGGTGGCACCAAGGACAAGGAAGACACCAGCACAACTACATTTAGTGCACCAGCTGCAACCCTTCTTGAGTTGGACTGACTTGGTAGCAGTTATCCAGGCCTTGCTACCCTCATGGTGAGGCCACTGCAATGTTGTGGGGCTGTCCCCCGAGAGTGTCTGAAAGCTACAGTTGGTACAAATGTGGCAGCTAAACTACAAACTAGAACATATTATTGGGACAATGTTCCACCTGTCTTGAAAGACCTGGACTGAAAGCCTCTTGCTCTCTGGTTTCAATTCAAGGTGTTGGTGTTAACCTTGAGAGCCCTAAACTGCTTAGGACCAGGTTATTTAAGGGAATACCTGTCTTGTTATGAATTTCTCCATGTGCCAACATCTGCAGGAGAGGTTGTTTTGAGGGTGCCATGACCCGCAAAGCCCATTTGTCAGATACAAGCAAAAACTTTTTTTTGTGTTGCTCTCATGCTGTGGACTGCGCCTTAACAACAATCACAAGTGGTTCCCCACTCACTTGGCTTTTAGAAAGGGGATGAAGACACATCTTTTTAATCCAGCTGTTCAAATTTCACAGTTATTTATGTTTCATTGTTTTGACCTTCTTATTCTATTATAGTTTTTGTTGTTCATCACTTTTAGCAAGAATAATAACAACACATAAACAATAATTATAATCAGTAATTAATAGCTAAAATGAAACCAACTTATTCTCCATACAGGTTCATATTTATTTCTACTAAAAATCTGTATCTAATTGTCAGGCCACAGGGCTCCCACTAGGCACTCCATATATACACAAGTGAACCTATTCCAGAAAAGCACGAATACTACCACTCTAGATTGGCACATGGACAAACCTCTGCAAGCAAATGATTTTAAGACCAATTTTAAGATCGTTCTGGTACCACCACTACTTCCTTTTTTATCTCTGAGGAATCCTCCAAAGCAGTGTGGCTCAGGCCCCGGCCCCCTTTCCCACTTCCACTGACTAGCTGCTTTCCCCAGAGAAACCACCCACGCCTGATCCTGGCTCTCTACATGGGTTCACAAACAACTGCCATTCCCACACTGGTCTCTCAGGTTTTCCTCTGTGTCTGCAGCTGTTTTCCGGAGGGACTTCTCCCAGAACTCCCAGCACCTGATTTATTGTCCTGAAGCATCCTCAATAAAACACCACACAAGGGTTGCAGAAGTAACAACAGCTCACACAGCCAACAGAGACAGTCACAGCATCACTGGAAACTTCACAAGGAAACCCCACCCCATGATTAAGCCCTCCAGGTGACAGCCAAATAACTCCAGGGTAACACCCAACCCCACTACACTGAAAGAGACTGCAGCCTGCACTCCTAGCTGCACATGCGGCCTGGTGCGGAAGGTCGGGCAGCTGCATGGGCAGTCCAGAAGTCTCCCAGCCTCACAACAGCAGTGTGGAAACCCTGCCTTTATGCAGACAGTTCCAATAGCACTGCCTACAGCAGGGTTATATTGCTATCTCCAAGGCAGGGAGGACAGTACTTTTGCATGGGGAAGGCCATCAGGGATAGGAATAGACGTTACAGACACCATGGGCACAGTTTGCGATGCCTGAGAGCTCAGTGAGAAAGGGCAGTGTGACAGAAAAAGGGATGTGCAGATCCAAGTCCCAGCCCAACAAGTTGCTTTATTTGTATTATACAGAACAGCTCTCTGGGCAGTTCACAACAATCAAGGCCACAGTACAATCACACATTATATATACACAATGCAAACATTTGCAGTACTGAAAGACAACAACATAGGTGCCAGGCAAACCTCTGTGTGGAAATAATTTTACTACAGAGGTCACTTCACAACAGAGTGCCACTATTGAAAAGGCCTTTTCCTTAATAGCGCCTTACCTCACCTCATTTGTGGCGAGCAGATGGAGGAAGGTTCTCATGATGATGTTGGAGCCCGAGTGCATGTGCACGCACGCATGCATGCATGTACGCGCGCACGCACACACACACGCACACACACACTCTCCACATCCATGTATGTGGATGTGAAGAGACAATCCTTCAAGTAACCTGGCCCCAGAAGCAGTTCGGGCTTTGAAAATGAATATTAACAATTTGGATTGGATTCAGAAATGGACTGACAGTCACGGTAAATCACAAAGCACAAGTGCAATGTCTTGACTGGTCACTATTGACACGCTTGCTGCCCTAATTAGAATGAGCTGAAGTTTCTGGCCCATTTTCAAATGCAGTCCCACATAGAGTACTTTAACCTGGGTGTGAGGTTAACAGACTATGGATAACTGTAGCTGTCCAGGGAAGGATGGGGCCTGGCATATCACACAAACTGTCAGGAGGTGTTTTGTGCCACCAGGTCTACCTGTGTCTTGAGTAACAATGCCAGATCCAAGAGCATCCTCATACTGTGCACCTGATCCTTTAGGCAGAGTGCATGTGGACTTCAGAAGTCTGCCTCTTCAGGGTCTGGTGGCAAAAGAAAATTAAGCCACTGGGATCAGCAGCTGGTCCCCACTCCTCAGACCCGTATGAATCCAGCCACATAGATTCGGACTTGAAGGATGGCCAGATGCAGCTGGAGCTCACTGGACAGCTAAAGCCTTCATACACAAGAGACCTTGAGTCTGATCTCTGGCTGCTGCCTCCTAGTGAAAAGGGTTTGAAAGCATATACATATTTGTACACTTCCAGCTGTGTTATTTGATAAATTGATTGGCACATGAACCACTAGTTTCATTCATGGAATGTTTTGCCCTTTCTTCCCATCTAGCCACCCTCCACCTCTTCATCTGGCATCGTCTCAGGGCATCTGGTTATTCCTTCTACTTGTTGCAACCCAATTTTTTATTTCATGCCAGCAGATCCAGCTTCCACTGTTGGGATTTCCCAACAGTTCATTTGGTAGTGCCTCAGAGGCAGTATACATTGATGAAGTGTTGTGGTGTTTTCTTAATAGAAGCAGCAGATATACACAAGAGTAGCAAGGGCACTATAAAAGCCGTCTCCAAAATAGAGTTGCACTGAGCAGCATCACTTGTATGTTGATAGTTATATCATCACAGAAAAAGTTGATTGTCCACCATTTTGACCCTACAGGTAAAGCCTGCATGGCATTTTCCCCTACCCATGCATTTTCGTATTGCATGGAGTTGAACCTGTTGATCATAGCATAGAACTGGAAGGGGCTAATAAGACCATTGGGTCCAATCCCCTGGTCAATGCACAAGTCTAAATCAAAGCATCCCTTACAGATGGCTGTCCAACTTCATCTTGAACACCTCCAATATGGAAGATCCCATGCTCTCCCATGCATGGAAAGGGTGCAGGATGCCTGCTAGAACAAGAGATGGCAACCTCACAAAGACATAGTTGACTTCCCATAATTACTGGGAGCATTAATTTGTGGCATTCATAGTTTGAGGTGAGGAAAATAGTCCTCTCTCTCTGCCAGTTGAACAGCTGTCCAGCATTTAAATGCTGCTTTCTTTTATCTACTTGATTACACTCTGGCAAGGGTGAAAAGGTCATAGGAACATAGGAACATAGGAACTTGCTTTCTACCAAGTCAGACCATTGATCCTTCTAGCATAGCATTATCTACTTGTGTGTTCCTTACACTGAAGGCACCACTTATGCAAAGGGCCCATCACTAGCACTGCCCACCTGCATTCTGTAATTCTTCACACATAGGACCACAGAGACGTAGCTTGTTACCATGCATCTTGATGATGCATGAGATCTGTTGGTACTTCCAGATGAGGCTCTTATGACATCATCACCCTGCTCATTCATGGCAGTTTACAGGGGATCCAGATATCCTTACTTTTACTCATAAATTTCCATTTTCCCTCCATTTTTTTGCCTTAATGCAGAAACTCCAATAAGGTAAAATAAGTTCTGACAAATGTAGAATGCTTTCTGGTTGCTAGCATTAGCCGTCCTTCGTCTGGAAGCACTTTGTGGCCTGAGGGTTGGTTAGAATCTATCTTCTGCTGTACCTCTGAGAAGAGAAGGAAGAGTTGAGGAAAGGAGCAAACAGTTTTATATTACTTTCAGTGGAGTGTCTAAAACTCTTATCTTTTTATACACTTAGTGTTAACACCAAGAGGAAATATGGGACTGTCTCCTAAGGATGTACAGGATTTCAGCTAAGAGTTATTTCTCTGCTGCAACACACCCTGATCAGTTTTGCCCTTTTCCACTAGCAGTGTTGTTGTCATTATGGTGCTACTGTATTTCTGCTGGCGTAGTGCCGTACTCTACTGATTCGAGGGGGCTTATCTTTCTGAAGCGCATAAACTGAGTAGAAGGCTCATAAGCAAAATCACTGGCTTCAGCTCTGTGGAATTCACCCTGCTCTCACTGCAGATATATTCTCATATAATTTCTGTCAGACAGCTTCTTGACTTCAACTTTTTATTAATATTATTACAAATGTATATCATTTTTATTAAAAAAATTCACACTGAAACAATTCAATTTAATTACAACAACAAAAATAAAAAGAGATGCAACGAAGGAAAGCATATTTTAACAGTCTTTCAAAAGCAATGTAAGGACATATTTAAAAGAAATAAATGCTTTATGAGGGCAAAGCCTGTCAAGTTCAGTTTATTGCAACTGCCCAACACAGTAGGTGGAAATCTGTAGCCAGCTATTCAACATAGCTGCCTCTCCCTACAGGCCAGGAGGAGGCAAGCTGGGTGGCAGCAAGAACTGAATCTGCGTTGAAGACATCTCCGCCCACTCTACATGTTCTCCACTTAAGCTAGCTTGACATCAAGAAGCGTTCTGGTCAGCGCCAGGTAACTGCCAGATTTCAGCAAAAAAGCCAAGCAAGATCAATGCTTGTTGTGAGGGTGGAAGAATGGCACTGACCTCCAAAGGCGAAGGTAAGAGTCAGGAAGAAGCTGGGGCGGACATGTCTTTGATGGACTGGAGATGCATTTTAAAATGTAAGCCACAGACCCACATACATAGTTGACTGAAATTTCATTATCTCAGCTTAGGTAGCCCATGAAATTCCAATAAATGAGAAAATAAATCTAGACTTTGAAGTTTGTTTTTCTAAAAAATGCAAACTTCAGCAGCCACCACTGAGTACATTGCTATACATGGGTCAACCCTGGTGAACTGAAGTTGGTAAGGATAAGAGAGGCCAGAGAACTATATAATAAAAAGACTACAAGAATAGAAAATGAATGTGTGAAATTATAGAAAAAGGAAACTGAAGGCAGGCACACTTCCACAAATAGTTAACATGAAGAAATACAAATGAAAACAATTTGAAAACTATACTACATTACAGATATAAAACTGCTGTTAAAAAGGGACATCTTCGGTCCACATTGTGTAATACTTTTTAGTGTCTACACAAGACAGATTTTTTAAAAAATTAAATAGTATTAATTTACTACTAAATATTTAGGAGATAACAGTGCATTAAGGACTTTTCCCCCATAAAGCAATACACATCGTTCTGGCGTGGCAAAACATTTGGATTACACATGGCCTTATGTACAATATGTTTACTTTTTCTTAAAACAGTTAACTTTGCTTAATGTTGCTTAAGTACCATCACTGAAGATTATGAAGGGGAACTAAGCTTATTATGTTTATATAAAATATTATACATAATCAAATACTTCAAGCTTCCTCCTCCCCAGCCTCAGGATGTCCTCCCAATCTTCCCACCCCCCCACTCCCACCCCACGAGATACAGTGTCACAGATACAGTGCAGGACTTGCAGCTTCACAAGATTTGTCCTTCATTATGCAGTCTATGTTACAATTCATTTCATCACTGCTTTGCTAATCCCATTTCCTTGCTCTTTTTCTTTGAAAGCCAGAAGAGAAATATCGAAGAATGAGGTTTGAGCTGCTACAGTCTCCCAAAGTTGCAAAAACCACAGTTAATTGCTCAATGTCCACTTCTAAGAGCCAATGTGACAGAAAAAGAGGAATGATGTCAAAGCTGCACGCACTAGTGAGAATTATTTAACCAAGCTGCACAGTTATAACAATGTCTGGGTCCTGTGATTCCACAACATACAATAGATGATTTATCTTACATTACATTTTGATTCATGAAATCTCCCCTGAAACAAAGCTAGCTTAACTTGGCTCACATCAGCCCTGCAAGACATGAGACACTCATCTTTTTATACACAAATAGTTCACCATAATAGGCCAAGTATGCCCAAAAGCCAGGATATAAATGAGTGCAGTAAACATTTCAAAAGTGTAAACTGACATTTTACTCTATCCCCCTGTCAATGCTTATTTGGAAGGCCATGAAGTTTTTAGCACAGCTACGTGTGTCTGCACAGATGCTGCAGGGGAATGGGGTATAGCTAGCCAGCCAGCCAGCTAGCTAGCTAGCCAGCTGGCAGGCAGGCAGGCAAGCAAGCAAGCAGGCAGGCAGGCAAGCAGGCAGGCCATTAATGTCCAGCAAACATCAACTTGTCAGAGTACAGACAGCAATCATGGCCCTCATTCTAGGGGACTGGAAGCTCATGGAGATAATGCACATTCCGCACAGGTTGATATACTGTATGCACAGAGGAACCTATGCTTGGACTGAGTTTGTCAGAGATGCTAGACCAAAACCAATGGTAGGATGGAGCAACGGAGCAAGAAGGGGAAAATGAGCAGTTCATAAGGAAGTCAAAACAAAGTTAAATAATGTTCTAGGATGATGACTGAATATGAGCTCCAATGCAAAAAGACTACAAATGAAACTGGGAACATGGAAGTGGGAGAACTTTTTAACTGAGAGTTGGTACAAAACTAACTTTTGTTCCAGTCAATAAAACCAACTCAGCATGTGATAAATGAAGTATCACAAACAGTACAGATGAGGGCCAGCAATACCAAGATTTTTTTCTCTCAGATGAAATAGCCTTTTATTTTTTTTTCACCTACTCTGAAATGAACTAATGTTTGGCTCTCCCCAGAAACCCCCCGTTAACAGCAAACAAAGCAATGCCTGACACTAATGGTACAGTGAAACCTACAGTTTAGTTGTTCCAAGCTGATTTGGAAACATATAGTCCATGGAATAGGCTATATTATTATTTTTAGAATTAAAGAAAGTTTGCCTTCCCAAACTCATCTACCACCTTGTTAGTTTCTCTTGTAGTCTTAGTGCAAAACACTTGGTGAACTTTGTCTGCAAGACAAGTATCAATTCAGAACAGAACACAATGAGGCATGAGCTCAAGCTATACAGTGTAAATGCCCATAAATGCATATATATAAATAATAAGCTCCTTCCTGTACCACTTTCTTAAACGTAATTGTTCTTAACTGGGTGATTTGGGGCCAGTCACAGACTCTCAGCCCAACAGCCCAGGGTTGTTATTGTGAGGATAAAATGGAGCTATGTAAGTTGCCTTCGGTTCCTCACAACAGGAAAAAAGGCAGGATATAAATGCAGTGTAATAATAACAACAACAACAACAATAAAAATACTGGGTGCTGCTTATATATTCTAAAGTATATGCCTTTCAATTTTAGTGCAATAAGGTTAGGGCTGTGCATGTTTAAAACATTCTGCACCATGATAACCCAGTTTCCTCATAAAGAAAAGCTGAATTCTGCAATCTGTACAAAAGATGTGAACTAGTATATATGCTATATAATCCTCACATTCTAAGGGTAAAATCACAATTAACTTAAGTCTATTCATTTTAATGGGTCTACTCTAAGTAGAACCTCTGTTGGATTTTACCCTAAGATTTTGCTAAGGATTGCTCACAAACTTTTAAGCCTATCTTCCTACTCAAAAAGGCAGGAAATCCACTTTGGGGGAAAAGAAAAAGAAACAAAGTACAGATTCACAAGATGCTGAATTCTATGCTGACCTGCAGAATATACACAGCCATAAATAAAGCGTTTGAGAGCTGCATTTCTGGAGCTGTTTAAAGAGGGGATCTGCCTCAAAGTAAATATTGCTTCTGATTACAGATAATGATTCTTTGCTCATGAATTCTAACGTTCCCTCTACAAAATGCCTATTCAGTACACTTTAACACAAATACTGTGTATGTGAACTTAGGGAAACAGACATTTCAGTAAAGCATAGCTTACCTCAGTGTAATCAAATTGGATTCATCACAGCAGTGGTAAGACAACATACTATGCATTCTACATTTGAGACAAACATCTTCAAGACATTATTTAAAGACTTATTTGATATTTTATCGGATTCAACTGGACTATGAAGGAATAATAATAATGGCTTGTCAAGATTCATGATTGCAAATGCTCTGCAAATAGCCAGTGGTTCATGCCGCAACAAAATGGTTAGTCTCTTAAGGTGCCACAGCACTTTTTGACTTTTTTGCTGCAAGTTTCAAAACCAATTTTTCACAAAGGAAGGTTGCATCAGAAACAAAGCAGATGTAAAGAGCGTACTACATACCTACCAAAGAGCACAATGACCTGTCCGACTCCTGGCCCCTAAAGTAGTAGCACAGTCTCCTTGTTTGCCCTCACTGCTGTTGCTGCTGAACTGCTGGGCAGAGTTCCAAAACACAGATAACCACTAGCAAAAACAACATTGCATGTACAGATAACCACTGGAGAGGACACCACAGCTTTCTCTTGTTCTACTGGAGACACAAAAATATTTGCCTTCCACTTTGCTGTCATGCCTTGATTTAAAGCAAAGCTTAAGCCAACCTACCTGGAAGATAATGACATATGATCTATGATCTAAGATAAAACAATCATCCATAATCTTCTGTTTGGTGTTCAGTCCAAACATATAACATGGAATAGCTGCTGCAAAGAATTGGGTTGTATATTTTTCTTTTCTTCTTTTTATTTTAAAGACCTCATCTGAAAACTAGACTAATAAAAAGGGAATAATAAAATACTCTGGAACAGTAAAATCTGCTGTTCTTGACATCCATGAGCAAAACAGTAATATCCTGTGAAAATAACATAGTGCTTTTAAAAGGTGCATTATACCTGTATAGCTAAACGGGTTTGCCTAGTAAAAAATTAACTATATACAAGCTTGAAAAGTCTGGGAATTCAAGATTTCAAAACTTTAAAATCCTGGTAAAGGGATTTGGAAAAGGTAAAATTTATGGCAATTACTACAACACAAGAAAGGTGCACCAGGAATCCTTCAAAAATTCCATAGGTTAAAGAAGTTTAAGTGCTGGGTTCAGATCAGATGGTTTCATTCGAGTAACCACAATGGAACGCATGTGAAAGCAAGCTGAGGGGAAACTTCACAAGAATCTCCTTTATGGCAAAAAAGGGTGAGAATTCTTTCTTGTCCGAAAACAATGTGTAAATAAATGTTTTCCTTTAGTAATCATTATGTTAAAATCTGCATCACAGTTTGCATTTTTGGTTCTTCTCATGGTTATGAACTTCATATTGCTGGAGTCCGTTGTCTGTTAGTTCATTCCTTTCTAACACCGTCTACGAGGTTTCTTCAGTACCGGTGAGACTGGTGGGACTGGTGGTACTGGGAGCTCTGCTGAGATGATGTAGAATAGCCCATGCTACTCTGGGACTGAGAAGATCCCTGAATGTTGCTTTGGTAACTCAGGCGTGAACTGGAGTGCTAAAGGGAAAACAAAACAAAACACATAAATATTTTGGGGGCAAGAAATTGATCCATGAGTTTTTTCAAGCTGCAAAATATCATTTCTTACTTTCTGATAGATTGTCCCTGCATAGAGAAATGAGATAGGAATGTCCACTCTCCTGCTAACCCACCATTTTTTGCTTTGATTAAAGAAACTTGGACCATTGCTATTAGAGAAATATGAGGGTTGATCCAAAGAAATGTGAGTAAAACTCTGCTTGAGCAAAAGGGTTTCCTTGTTACTCAATTTCTCCTCCTTCCATGCCTCTAGAAAGCCTTGCCTGGGGTTTGAAGACTCTTTAACAATGTGAGCAATAATCACGGGGAACATCTTGCACAAGCAATCCCTGCAATCTAGCCATGGAGATCAGTTGTCAGAGTTGAGGAATAACAACAGGAGGATATCAGTATATACTGTGCAGCATTATATCCATACTAAACTAGGCAGGCTATGGTTCAATTTTAAGGACTATGGGGAAAATATATTCTATAAGAAGAACCAAGAAAAAGATCAAGGTGAAACCAGTGATGATGCTCTACATAAGGACGTTAAAGGCACAATCCTATCCACATTTGGACTAAAAAGAAGAAAAAAAAGTTGCATGAGTTCTAGTACATATGAGCCAGCAATTGCAAAGCAAAGTGGTAGAGGGGAGCTTACCCTGAAAGAGAATGGTGAATATATTTCCTCAGCAGTCTGTTTCTCTAGATTTTAAGCATTGCCTCGACAGCTTTCGGTGCTCTCCACCTTTTCCATGTGTTCCTCAGCCTTTAGGTATTCTAGGAAGGGAAACTCTATATCCCACCCGCTTTTCATGAGCAAATACTTTTGACAACTTTCAAAAGGAACAGCTCCTTTTAACAAACCTATCTGAAAATTTTGAGCTTTTATTTTACTGACAAATGCACAACCATGAAATCTGTGGTTATTTCTTCATTCTCCCTAAAGGCTCAAATTTTCTAGGTGCATGTTTTTAAAGAATACTTTTTCTTGAAAGTTCCTATAAATAAGTTCTTGTGAAAATGGGGTGGGATATAGAACCACTCTTTCTGGCATATCTAGAGGCTATGAAAAGTCTGAAAAAGGCACTGAAAATTGATGGGGAAATCCTTAAACATTGGAGAATCACACTGTCCAAGGGGAGATATACACACCAACCCCTTTCATGGCAAAACATGTTTCAACTGATAACTATCAAGTGTGCAAAGCATCCTTTGTGTGACCTTGCTTTCTCAATGTCTGTGGAGGATGCCTCCTGCACTCTGACAGCAGGCACTTAATGAGGACATTGGCCAGGCAAGACTCCACATTTCAGGCAGAAAGACCAGGATTTTTAAAACATGATTTCCACTGTACCCATTTCCATTGACCCACATTTTGTTTTTTAATGTACTGAGCCCATGAAGTTGCCCCAATGTGCCTCTACAGCATACATGGAGTAGCTTGCATCACAGGCAAGCTAGCCAAGAATGGCAAGGGTTTTTATCTGCTCTTGCAGAATGGCTCGCTCACTGCTTCCCACATTCTGTGATGGGATCACTTTCATGGATTTAGAAAATAAGACAACCCATTACAGGTTCAACAACCTTTACAACAAGCCATGGGTCATCCAGCTTGTTGCCTTAAAACAAGCTAGTATGTGGAAAGTGGTCCAGGTTTGGATGAAACCACAGCCCACCATGTCTTGTTACGTTTGATGAGTTGCTGTGCAAGCCCAGGCTAGGGATGGGATGAACCTACTGGAACCCATCCCTCTTGCATCCACAGGCTTCTTCCTGAGCATGCCCTGGTTCTATGAAGTGAGCCAAGCTAAGAGGAAGTCCGCAAACAATTGTGCCCTCCCCAGGTGTGCAACAGGCAACCTTCCCCATCAGGTGCAGCTGCGGGTGGCTGCAAAGGGTGCGTAAGGGGGGCACTGCTTGTGCAGCACAAGAGGCGTAATTCCTGGCAAGTGCTCGGTGGGTGCACTCACCAGGAACTCGGACTCAGGGCCACTGCAAAATCCACTGGAATCCAGGGAGCTGCGCCCAGGGAATCCAATGGATTCCTACCTCCACATGGATTTCTTGCACATTCCTAGCCCAAACAAACTATAAGCATGATTAAAGATTCAGACATAGTGATCGGGTTCTGTCTTATCAAACAGTGATTGATAGGATGCAAGCATTTTTGTTAATAATTTCATTTAAACACAAAGTCATTCCTTTAACTCTGGAATACTGTTAAAATGGATTCAAACTGGGAAAAGCATATATTGTTTGATAGTTTTAAGGTGAGATACATTCATTATATGGGATGTGTCCAGAAAGTAATGAGAATGAAATTTCTGCATCCAAGAAGGATGCTGTGAAGGGAGAAGCTGGAAATAAGGCAAAGATCTGAACTGCAGACATTTGAAGCTAGCCTAATATACCAATGATCCTAATAGGGAATTGGTATAAAATGGTGATCCACTGGTATTTGTTCCATGTATTACAAGCAGCTTGAGATATAATAGGAGAACAAGATTTTAAGCATAATAGAGCTACTGTAGAAGATCCATACTATTTGGGCAGTGTTGAATTAAGCAGAGTTTCAGTGTCTTGCAGTGTCTAACAGCTCAACCATAACATTTCAAGAACAACAAAAGGTATTGCATTCCTTCAATGAAAAGACCATTACCTGTGATGGCTAATATAAGCTACCAGTTTTGTATAATGAAGCTATCATATGATTGTTGTTGCAATGATTACAGCCAAAGAAAAGTCATGTGGATCAGCTGTTTGCTAGAGATTATTCCCATATTTCTACATGAATATAAATCAAACTCATATGGGTCATATGAGTGTGTTGTAAGTAGCCAGTTTGCTGATCACCCTAAGCCTGGGGTGAGCTGACTGAACTGGTAGGCACACATCGTTAGCTTGGCCATTTGGATATTGGGTTGGTGCTACTACTTTTATCCCCTTTTCAGGCACACACTGATATTCCCCAATGCTTTCATCAGCTTGGAGATGAGTAGGAAAAGCTTCACCTCCTTAATTTGGGTGTGTGTGTGTGCCAGGCTGTTAAGGAGTGTGATATATTAGCTTGCTTGTACCTCCAGCCTGAGCAGAAGGAAAGGCTATACTCCTCAGAGGCAACATCATCACAACTCATTTTTAATATCCCTTTTCTTGCCCATGTGAGGCTTTTATATATGGAAAAGGGCAACTTCCTTTTCAGAGCTTCCTTAATCACAAGGTTTATGTCTAGTGTGTGAGTGAGGCCAACCTGCTGCTAGGCCTTAGAATCAAGTCAATTCAGTTTCCTATTCAGTATATTTAGCCATAGTCAGCTGCTCTTAGAAAATGAAACATCAAGTTAGCTTACTAGGCTTTACTTATTAAGGACCACAAAAGCAACTCACTGGTGTGGGGAATGAATAAAGCCCACCTGGGACAAAAGAACATGGAAGAGTCTTTTGTCACTCACCCAAAGACAAAGATTTCACAATACAAGTATGTCTGTGGGGAATGAACAGCTCTCAGGAAGGCAACTTCAAATAGATCCAACAATAGTTTGAAAGGACCTGATAATACATCCTGCCAATAATTTTTCTAGTCATATTTAGCAGGAAGCAGCCTAAACCTGGAAGAGATATACAAATATAGAAAAATGGGGTCTCTTGCAAACTGACCATGCCTTGTTTTGCTCAAAGAAAGGTGCGTGTGTGTGTAAGGGTTGAATTCATTAAAGAACATACTGGTTTTCTTTTGCATTGAAATAACTTGCATTTATATTTAGATATACCTTCTACTTGTAAATCACATTGAGAAGACCGTATCAAAATATTTCTTCAAAATGAAATGCATTATAGCAACAAGGCAAAAACATGTTGAATTTTATGAGTTTGCAGCACAATACTTGAATGTCTGATTCACTGTAGACAAAAAGCTCACTACGTGCTCAGGAGTGACAAAGAATTCAGTTCTTTAATTAAAAAGGTAAAATGCTATGTAAATCAGTGTACTGGAAAAGAATGCTTTATAATCCCCTTTGTAGCTGCTTTTAACTCACCATTTCTTGATCCTTAAAACAAAGGATGTAGGACTAAAATTAACAAAGACTGTACCTGATAATCTGAAGGCATGACAGGCCCGCCTGAATTAGTGCCTGAAGGCCCAATGCGTGGTTTCTTATTTGGAGGCACCTGGTTGAGGCTGGAGTCCTGGCTATGCTGGAGACCTGCCCCAGTGCCTCCACCTCCTGTTCCACCCGCCCCTGCAGTTCCATTTGTCTGTGTACTGTTTTGCTGCTGCGGCTGCTGTGGTGGTGGCGGTGGCTGCGGCTGCTGAGGTGCTGCTTGCTGCGGTGGCTGAGGTGCTGCTTGTTGCTGATGTTGGTTCTGCTGCTGTTGATTCTAGGAAATGGAAAAGTGAGATAAAGATAGTAGAGGTTGGATGGCCCCTAGGCTAGTGATTTCTTCAGTTTTTCACCCCTGAATAAACCATACAAATTTACAGGTGAATACTGGTGATAAATACTAATGATACAGAGCCAGTGTGGTGGCTAGACTCTTAGGAGCCTGTTAGGGAGACCCAGGTTCAAATCTACACTCAGCCATGAACCTTGGGCCAGTCACTCTTCTTAAATTGACCTATATTACAAGGCTGCTGTGAGGTTAAAAGAGAGAGAGGGGAAGAACTGTGCATACCACCACGAGTACCTTGGAAGAAATACAGGAGACACACATGAACAATAAAGAAAGAAATCCTTTGCAGACATTTGTGCAAACCAAAATATACTGTGGAAAAAGCCAATTTATGAAGGAAATAATTTAATAAAATGAAAAGTGGTAGTTTTGACAGAGTAGTAGATTGTATTTTAATAATGCGTCGATATATTTAAAGATCAAAGATACTTAAACATGAATAACTGACATTTTCACAACTTCAACAGAAAAAGTAAATGATGCCATAGCTTTTCCCCACCCCATCTCTTCTCTCAGAAAAGAGAAGGAAAGTACAACAGAGATGATCCTTCAAAGAAGCTTTAGAACTTGAAATCCCAGCTGGAATTATCAGCAATGAGTTTTGATTATAGAACCAAGAACGGGTTCTAGAATTCTATAGAATTACACAATACAACCTGGAATAATTAAGAATATACTTTGAACTTCTGTTGAAGGTTCCACAAAAAATACTTAAACTGATAGGGATGTCAGTAATGAGATCTCATAGTTTATACTGCTTGAACTATTTTTCATAAATTTGTGGCTGTGGCTATCACTCAATTTTCTGAAAGATAATTATGTACTGCACAGATAAGAGCCTACTCTAAGTCCTGAAATCACAGGCAATCAACTGCCCTGGGTATCCTCAAGTGCTAGCATTTTTTATTTCATTTCAAGAACTGAACTGAAACTTAAGAAACAGTACAATTTATAACGCATTATTTCTTTCCATTCCTTCTGTGCAGAATATATCCTCAAAAGAATCACACTAACAAGACTGAGTTGATAATTTTCTGCCACAGATGGTATATTGCTACCAGAATCTAGGCAGTTCAATGTTTTTTCTACAGGTTATATATGAAACAGGTAGCATTCTTCTGTTGCTACTGCTGGTTGTGAAATAAATAAATAAGCACTTGCTGAACTGAAGGAAAAAAACATCAAGAGGCAAACCAGGCTGGAGAAATCTAATCAGGTGCATCAATTCACTAAAGCTGTAATACTTTTGGGATTAAATGTCCATTGGAATTGCAGTATTATTGTTCCTTGCAAATATGGTTGTAGCTACTACAACTAAAAAGGAGATACATTATTTATACTCAGTCCAAGATACTAAACAGGTCAATTTAGGGTTCTTTGGCACATGTTGTTCTGCAGTTAATAAGATTCCCCTACATATGGCAGTATCCTTATTCCCACAACACCTCCAATGTGCCAGAGAATATGTATAGAATATATAGGAAAAGTCAGAGCTATCTCTTTCAATTGCCTTCGTCAATTGTTTTCCAATATCTTTTTCTCATACAAATTTCGGATCTTCTAATCAAGTTGAGTACACCAGTAGAAACATGTTTCCTGTGTTCATGTAACATCTTAACCATGACATCTTCAACTAGATTAAATTTTTGAGTCACCTGTTCTCCATGGATCTTTGTTGAACATTAAATATGTTATTTGGTGCATCTGTTCCAGAATGCAGTTTTTCCTCTAAGCTGCGTTTCCAATAGCAGTCACTTTTTAATCAAAAATTGATAAGACAAGCAAGCACATCTTTAAATGCACCTGCTTTAGCCATAAAATCAGCAATGATCTTACACAGGCAGGAATGGCAGTGTTTATGACACTAACATATTTTTGTTCCCTTTGCTATATTTTCAGAGTACACTTCAGACATAGATTGGTGACATGCTTTGTTCCAGTCTTGGGGGAAAGAGTGCAGTCCACCATGCAACTGGAGTTAATACTGCCAGTTCCATCTGTATCCATGCTTGGTCCATCTTTCCCTGTATCAGGGACATTATCTATGAAGTCTCATTGCATACTTGTATGCCAGTGTCTCCCGGTCCACCTTGCTTCACTGCTTTACAGAGTCAAGCTTGCTTAGTCTTGTTCACTCTTCCTGATGTATAAAGTTGTCAAACAATTTTTGCCAACTTTAAGCTAAATTTTATCATGAATTATTATTGGCATGACTGGGAAAAGGAATGAAAACTTTGGGAAGAAATACATCTTCCAGGCTGCCACCTTTCTCAGCTGTGGAGTCTACCCATCTACCATTTAATGTGCATTATGACTAGAACAAAGTGGTGTTGCTTAATTTAGATATATTTTTATGGATAGTACTCAGAGATATTTCATCAGCTTTCAGTTTAGCAAGAAGCTGGATGTGGCTTTGTTATGTTGCTGTATTTTCAGGAGTCCATTAATGCAAAGCATATCTGATTTACTATGGCTGATTTTTAGTTCTCTTACTGCACTGTAATCTGCTAACTCCCCTTTGCACCTCTTGATTTGATTCAAGTGGTTCTGTAAGTAGCCATGCTATGTCATCGGCTAACAGATCTATGACATGCTGTATCCCACTCATCTCAGGCCTTTTTATGTGAAGGTGCTATCATTGCCATTGCAAAGGATTCTGGAGAAATACTGAACAGAAGAGGAGAAAGGCGCACCCCTCCTTAGTCCAGTGAAGTCTGATTATGAGACCATTGTACACATTGACCCTAACTGGTACTTTAGACTCTTGGTGTGTCACCAAGAAGATGTTTATTCACCTTTCTCCAAATCAAATGGTGTTCAGTAATGTCAATAGAAAGTCCATTCAAGTCAATCCTTGATCTTGGAAGCAGCAAGTGGCAGCTTGGAAGTCCTAGTCAGGTAACCAACAGGTAACAGTTTATGTGGCATTAAGCCAGCCTGACTTTATGCAGGATGTTTTAAATGAGTTGAACACAGAAACCAGAATGCTGGTGAAGTTTTGTATATTGATTCAATAGTATACAGATGCTCATGTAACTAAGCAAGCCACTTTATTCACAGTGGCTCCTAAAAAGATTAGAGCAAATGCCCTAACAAAAATTGCTGTAGGTTATGCACATGACAAATTGAGAATGCTGCTACAATTCCACAAACAGTCTGCATGACTGAACAAGTCCTGGACTTTGCTTGCAGCGTGCGTGAAGCTGCTGTGACTGACCATCAGAAAAAATGGGAAACCTCAAAGATATTTTCTTTTGGCTTCCTTAGCACTGCTGTGAAGGGCTGGAAGGCTTGAGTCCCAGAAAATCATGATCAAATTTCACCTTATAGAAGATTTCCCATAAGTTACACAATGTTTTAAGCAATGTCTCCTTAATGGTGAATCAAATGAAACGGTTTATCATGCTTCTGAGTTGAGAGTTCTCCAGTGGCCTGGGACACATTGCGCTCTCTTGCTATCAGTTACATCCAGCTGCATATTTGGTAGTAACACTGATATCCCGTTTACAAGTAATTTTGCCATACAGCTTCTCTCTTCTGACTCAGGAATACCATAAGTGCAAATATTCTGAAAGTTACTCCAGTTTTCAAGTTCTTCAAGCTTTTGCTGCACCTCATTTGTAACTGGTGCTAGTCTCTGTGCTTTTTTTTATCATGCCTGATTTGTACCTCTGAGGTTCCATTTGCTGTTTCTGATGCCAGGTTGCCTATTTTATTCTGAAGCCCACTGGAACTAGCACAACACAGTGACCTTGTACAGCTCCTGTGATCTCTGCATGTGGCTCTGCCATTATCTTATCAGGGCTGTGTGTGAGTGTGCACTGTTTCAAACACAATATTCTCTTCTTCTTTACTATCTGAGGGGTTGGAGGAGCTGCTAAACACTGTGAGACAACTTAAATTTTTAAATCTTGCTCTTACTTGTGTGCCTAGAGACATCCCTTCCGAAGCATTTTAAAAACTAAATTTCCTAAGTTCTTTCTGCAACTGTGGCTGCCTTTCAAGGGGTGAGAGACCGAACACTTAAATCAGGTCTCTATTCATACCCCAGGTTCTAGAATTCTAAGAGGTAGAATGTGGATTCAAATGTGAATCTGTTTTCCCCAGCTATGTATCTCCCTTTAGTAACTGTTTGTTTAAAGTACAAAGACAAATATTGCTTATGCCTTCCAAGTCCTTGCTAATTTTAAAGTGCAATCCTATGCAGCTTCGGACAGAAAAAAAATCCCGTAACTCTCAACATAACCTAGTCAGCCACACCTTTTTTACTCTTTTCAGCTTGATATTCTTTTGTGATGATAATAATAAACTAGAACTGTACACTACATGTTAAATTTGGACACATCACAGATTCATAATGCTGCCAAGAGAAATGAGCTAAAATTGTGCTTTCTGCTCTTGCTATGCTAGCCAAAGTAGAAATTGTACTTGTAGACAGAAATACAGTGGTTAACTAACAATTTTGGAGGAGTACAATAAGTAACATTAGTTCACTGAAATAGGTTTTTAGGATGTAAGTTTGTCTCAAATTAAATATTAATATATAATTAATTGTACATGAAAAGTATTAACATTTAATACATATAAAAATTACCAGAACCAGTGAACGTGTCGCAGAGGACAGCAACACCTGTGATTCCTGCCAAGGCCATCTCCTGGTCTGACATTGGGAACACATCAGAAACCCTACCTTCTTCCCCCGCCTTGTTTGTCTTGTATCCTCCTCACTCGCCCAGTTCTTCCAGACAACCCCCACCCCCACCCCACACGGACAAAATAAAAATTTAATTAAAAAAAACTGTGCCCAGGGAAGGGAGTCCCTGGGCAGCCTGGGCCACAGTTAAGGGACGCAGACAAGGGATGATGCCACTGGTGCCACCAATGGCTGTGTGTGGCCTTATAAGCCTCACAGGCCACTGGCCCCACCCCTCTGCTTCCTCCTGGGCCTCTCTGCCCTTGCCTCCTTCCTCTCCACTGCTCCTGTCCCCTCGCTCCTCCGCCCAGCTCCTACCTTGCCTTTGCCAGTTCCCTGGCCACCCTCTGCATGCTCTCCCAGCCTCTGCTTCTGCTGCTCCGCTGCTCTGCCAAGAGGCGAGAGCCAAAAAATCACTGACAGTTATCACTGCCAATAGTTACAATTAAAGCCATGTTTGCACTTTTATCGCTAAAGATGAGGTGATATTCAGGAGTGACACTCTTCAATGGATCAGGAAAATGGGTCTACAGTTTCCAATTATGTGTTAGGTTTATGCAAAAGAATCTGCTTCTGGAAAGGAATCACAGTTCCAAACAGCTGACTGGAATGCAACCAGATAAAAATCAAAAGAAAAGAAGATGTTGGTTTGTTTATGTTTGTTAATACCTGAAGAAATTAACCAACCAAAGCCATTTCAGAAAAAGATTTGAAGTAAGAGTTAAGGTTTCAGCTGAATTCTGAAAAGAAAAATGTATTTGAAATAGTTTAGGTCTGAGAAAGAAGATGCTCATTTTAAAGGTTTTACAATCAGTTCTTTAAAATACTATAGGAAAAGTTCCAAATATATGCCATTCCAAGGAAGCTCAAAACATTCAGCTCAAAACAAACCATCATCTTAAAAACCGCCTTAAAAACCACTTTTACAGAAAATCAGGTCTAGAACTAGGTAGATGTCTTCAAGTCAGGCACCTATAATTTCTGGCTGCTCTTCCTCATCAAGGCAAAAATTGTGATACCCAGGTTTTTTCCCCTTCAAGGAAGAGTCCTCTTCATGGAGAAAAGCACTCTGGCAAGAAAAGTGCTTTTCTCTAGCAGAAATTGCAGAAAAGCACTTTCTCCAGCAAGAAAAGGAGAGTATGGAAGCGTACTGGCTCAGCACCTGCTGAGCAAAGTTAGCCTAGGTGATTCAGTCTAGCAGCAGCCAAAGTGGTCTCCTGCTGGAAAAGTAAACAGGAAGCATGCCATTTTGGCCTCTTCTGGGTGGGGCTGCTCAGGGAAGTTCTGTCCAGTCTCCCCTGCAGAAAAGGCTGGCAGTAAGCTTGCCAGCTTGGCCACGTTGAGACAAGATGTGCTAGGCCCCCAAGCAACAAGACTGCCTCCAGGCTTTCTCCCAACTCTGGAGCTGGGCTCATGGCAGAAATCACCGTATGACCAATGGGATGATTCTGCCTGCTTCTCTGCACCTCCATGTTGGGAGGAAGGCTGGTAAGGGCAGGGGCACACTTGCCACAGTGAATGCCGTGAGTGGAGGTGTTGGATCCTGTGGGCAACCAGACATTTTGCTTAGTTAGTCTATCTGTAAAAGGAAATATGTCAGCATTTTGAGCCGCAACTACATGAGATACCTAGAAAAAGGACATATTGATAGTGGGTTGTACAAAGTCGCTGGTCGTATGAATGGCAACAGTAACTGCACTGAGAGCAAGAGAGAGATAACATAACAAGTGATGCAGAGGTGAACAAGGAACATTTACTAGGATCTTAACTAAGGATTGCTTTGTGTTTTAAACATTTATGTTGCAAAGCTCATTGAGTTGTCGTTTTATATATACTCAAGTAGTCTATAAATTGATTAAATAATAGATAAATAATGAAGTCTTTCATGACATATGAAATATTTTGCCCTTACCAACAATACTCTGGCTGTCTGCCACAAACCCTAGATTTTTTTTCAACGATGAACGGGATCTTCTTTACAGCTCTCATATCTTTTACCCTCTCTGTTGTCATAGGGATGCAGGAAGCTGTCTCATGCCTGGTCAGACTTGTTCATATGGCCTGGTATTGTCTGACAGCACCTGCCAGGATCTCAGGCAGAAGCTTTCCCTATCATTTGCTACCTCATTCTCTTTAGCTAGAGATGCCAGAGACTGAACCTGGGTCCCTCTACAAGGCCTGTGCTCCAGCATTGAACAGTGGCCCCAACCCACATTCTCCCACTTAGTCTGTCTCCTTCCACATCCCCCAATTCAGTATCAACTTTTCTGCAGGAATGGTTGCAAATGTAGTCTTATTTTCTGCAATCCCTCCCTTTCTTCATGTATGTAATACTTGTTCCACTTCCAGTTTTAAACACCTTCTCAAAAGTCATGCTTCCTAACTCAATCTTAATTCCCGTATTACTGGTTTTATCTGAACAAAGAATCCTTGTTCTATTCTGTAAACATTATCCAATGCATTTGATACTGTCTATGTTTAACATCTATGATGTCTACAGAGCCAGAGCTACTGTAGGCAAAGCAGAAAAGTCCACTTAAAAATAATTTGCACACCTTTGCTGTCTCACCCATTTCATCCCCATACAAACTCTAGGTCACCATTTGTGTGAGCAATTTGTTTGGGGGTTAGAATGTGTTGAAGTCCCTGGGCTCAGCTTCCCAGATGCCAATTCATTTTGCAATGGCTTGGAGTCCAAGTTCCTGGTATTGGCAGTGTGCTTCCCAGGAATTGTGCTCCTTGAGCTATACAAACAGTGCTCCTCTTTCATACCCAGTACTGCTGGCTACACTGGGAAGGGAAGAAGGTTGGTCACTGGGAGTGGTGCCTGATATAACCACTCACAGTGCCCCTCTTCTGCATCTGCTGTTCAGGCAGCATCTGATGGAGAAGGCTGCCCATTGTGCAACCAGGGTTCTGTGAGTGTTTGTGGACTTCCTCTTGGCTTGGCTTGTTGACAAAAATGAGCAGCACAGCCCTATTACTTTTTAGTATTTTTATCCCACCATTCTGCATAGTGTTCAAAGCAGTTAACAACATCAAAAACACCACATTAAAAATATGCAAACAAAATAGGAAGCCTGCAGTTGAATTACCAAGAATGCATATTTTTTTCCGGTGGTTCTGAAGGGAAAGGGTTGCACAACTGATGAGCGCTCATCAAGAATACTGAGAATCTGTATTCTAAGACATAAAATAGGGCTAGGTAAGGAGCACAAAGCTATGCACACAATAACCAAGGGGTCTGTATTTGCATGAGAAGGAATGGCAATGGAGAAGCCACAAATTTTACAAAAACAAGTCAAGCTCCACTGCTCCAAAGAATATAGGGCATAAACAGCTTAAGGGATATTTCTCATCAACTACAGACCTTTAAAGACTTCAGAAAGACACAGAAAATTACAGCTCTCTTTATTCCTTTAGCCACATGCCACTAATAGTGTCTTAATTTACTAAACATTATTCACTATAAAGTAGTCCAATACTTGCATGAGATGCTACACTTTTGAACAATGTCCCATGACATAGTGCTGGGATAGTCTTGACTAGGAATGTGTTCAATAAAAGACCCATCTTCTGTCAAATCTTTCACTGGAGAATCATAATTATTGGTCTTTGAACTATACCTTATCCCCTTTTTCCTCTGGCTCGTCCTCATTGAGAAATTCTCGCTTTGGGTATGGAATCTGGCAGCCAGCAAAAACGCTAAAGCAGAGAAAGAATAAAGTTGTATCAATATGTAATACCTTTCAAACGTATTTGGATATAACACTGAATTATGGTCTAGCATTACATGAATGAACCTTATGAGGGTTATGACTTCCCCCACTCCAGTGCAGCTGTGATAATTAAAAATGGAAGGAAATTTCCCAATTGTGGTTCCTTGTTATGTCAAAATCCATATGCACTGTGCTTAGACAGCTACTGATAGGCAAACAGGCCAACTTCAAGCCATGGTTTACAAACCGGGCTAGTTTCTCTACAAATCATAGTTCTTCTGAAATTCTTTGGTGTGTCCCAGTAACCAACATGTCTTTGCAATACAATCTTGAGTCCCTCTTCCTTTTCAGAATCCAGCTTGAATGTCAGGCATTTCTTGCTCCATTCAGGGTAGTATTTGTCATTACCAAAATTTGGAACCCTGTTTGTAGGGCTCTCAATCAATCTTCCAAATCACAAAAAAATGAATATAATGCAGTAACAGTTATTCAGCACCTGTCCTTCTTAAAGGTCGGATATTTTCTTACTTTGAGAACTTGCAAGAAAATCTCTGTCCAATTAAAGACCTATATCAAATTGACTACTGCATGGAAAAGGCAACTAATAAATACAGCCTGCATGTTTGCTGTACAGGACAGATATAGACAAATATTCTGGCTCAGAATATTCTGGATCTCACATATTTAAAATGGTCCCACAGAACAATATTTGCCATCAATAAAAAGCAAGCAAGCAAGCTCTAAAGAAGAGGCGAAACACTTACTCTGATGTAGGCAGTGGGTCCTCCTGAAAGTAAGGATCCTGCAAAGCTTGCTCTGAGGTAATTCTTTTTGTAGGATCCATAGTGAGGAGTTTCTGAAGCTGCGTAACATAGTATTAGAAAATGAATCATATGGATACTACAGTAGAATTTACTGTAATGTATTTTATTTATTGTACTTCAATACTGCCAAAGCTCTCTGGGCAGTTTGCAACAAGGAAGCCCAATAAAAACTTTTAACTATGTTCAAGAGAAATGGAAGGCTTCCTCCATAGAAAAGATGAAACAGTATTCACTGGCTATCCTTACAGAACAAGTTTCTCCAATCAGGTTATTTCCAAAAGTGTTGGACTACAACTTGTACGAACACCAGTCAGCAAGTCACTAGCTGGGGAATGAAATGAGCTGTAGGCCAAGACACCTGGAGGGCAGCAGGTTCGGGGTGCCTGTTACAGAAATACAAAAGAAAGTACAATGCACTTCCCACTTGTAGTCTCTCTATTGCCCCCACTCCAGCAACTCATATTCTGTATGGGAATCAGCCATTTCACATTAGAGTTCTCTACAAACTCTTGGGTGCTTCCTGTTTGTTAATTATTTTCCTAGAACTTGTAATTGACAATTGACCATTTATCATAGTTCAAGTTAACTATGAATGACATCAAAAACATAAAAAAAGCATACAACAGTAAATGAACTGAGATTTTTTTCAGAGAATTACAGTTTTAAATCTGTGTATCTTCAGCCATATTTTCTGCTGGAATAACACAAGCCTGAAATCCTACACAAACTTTCCTGGAAGTATGTTCCACTGAACTCAGTGATGTTTTTATTTCTGAATAAATAGATACAGGTGAGTATTGTTAACTTAACAAAATACAACATCCTTTAGCAGCAGCATACTAATAGCAATTTTATTTGTCAAACAAACAACTTACTAAAAGGAATACTTTGCTGTCAGGCTTGACTTTGTGTTTTTCCATATATTTTATGAGGCTACTATTGGCATACCTAGGGAAATCAAATAAAAAAAGTTTACAAGAATGAAACAGTATTCACAACAAAGAAAACGTGTATTATATACTAACGTACATTTCAAGTAACAACTTGCAAGCTTTTATTCACTAACCCATACAATATTCTGCGGATAACCGCAAGGCAAATGGTGGTGGTGGTTTTTGGTGACACATGAACGTCACTCCTCTTCAAATAACAATGCCAAAGATAATCAAACTAGGGGAAGTAAAAATCCTGGATAGGAGAACAAATACTCTAAGAAGGAGAACAAATACTATTAAAAGTCCAAAAGAACAGTAAAATCAGTGCACTTATATGATAGAAAGAAAGTTGATGGGTACACCTGCTTACAGACCAGACTTCATAGTTTGGTGGCCTCCACACTAAATGCCCTGTCTCTATTAACATCTGAATGTGAAGAATACTGAGAGAAGGGACAAACAGATTGAGGTGGAAAGCAGCACTAGTTCAGATATTCTAACCCAGGCGTGGAAAAAATTTGGCCTTTCTAATGTTGTTGACTATAACTCCCATCAGCCCCAGCAAACATGGCCAATCCTTAGAAATTACAGGTACTGTAGTCCAACAATATGTGGAGGACTACAGGCTGTCCACTCCTGGAACTGAGCTTGGAAACCTGAAGAAGAAATGAGGTAATAGCTACATGTGGAAACAGCATGAAACCATGCTGCAGTGAGGCTCAGCCTTGCATGTTCCTCCAGTCCCTGTGTGTGAGGGGAGACATCTGATACTTCCAGATGCAGTTTTCAACAGTTTGGTTTCCTGTTTCTCTGACTCCTATCCCAGCTTACACAAGCCACAGTTTTCAGTATCTGGGAAAAATATGAAATGGTTTGCTACAATCTATGATTACAAGCTTTGCATATCTTCTCCTTGAGTGAGATGGAAGAAACTGCATGCCCCAGTTGCCATACTGCTTTTTCATACTACTAAACTGTGCATTACAGCTGAATAAGGGCTGATGTCAACCATCATGTTTTAGAACTATTAGATCCAGATAACCACTACTTACGTAGTTCTCCTAAAGTCTTTTTGAAGTGTAGGATATTCTGGCATCTTCCTAATGTCTTCCCAGTCTTTATCTTTGTAAAGAAAAAGCAATGGACAAATATTAAAAATGCAAAAATACACAAACAGTCATACTTATTTTATTTATTTATTAGAGTTATATCTCACCTTTTTTCTTAACTGAACTAAAAAGAGCTTAAATCAGTCTCTTTCTGCTGCTCTCAATCTTATCCTCAGAACAACAACCCTGTGAAGTAGGTTGGGCTGAGAGTCTGTGACTGGCCTAAAGTCACCTAGTTGGCTCCATGGTTGACCAGAAACTAGAACCCAGATTACCTGAGTCCTAGTACTGTGCTCTATTTGATATAAACTCATTAGCAATCTTAAAATTACCTGCAGGAAATCCCATTACACTGAATATGCGATCAAGCTGATCATGATGAAAAGGATTGCTTGTTTTGATGTCTTCCTGACGACAATGAAAGATAGGTTCTGAAGTCAATAGTTCAGCAAATATACAGCCAATGGCCCATATATCTAGGAAACATAAGCACATATAAAATCTAAATGTCCTCATATATTTATTTGCTGAGGTTATGATGTGTTAATCACAAAATATATAATGAACTCATATGTAAAAGGAAATGGAGTAGTTGTATTAAAACTGGAAGAAACTGCTTGTGAATTTTACTTGAAGGCCAACTTCCGCAGTCAGATATTGCATAGCGCTGAGCCGAAAATCGCACAGTCCCTGATGACAGCATACAACTATTCTATTGATAATGTTAAACACATCACAGTAAACACAGAAATCAAACAGTAAAAACGTCTATGAAGAAATATTATGCTTTTTACAAAAGCAGAAAGCAAAAGCACAAAACACTCTTTTCAAGTATTTTCAGAATAAGAATCCAAACAATTTGTTCAAGTTTTTCAGTAAGTAAATAGCCACATCTCTAGTGCATTTAGTATCACGAGGTTCACTCATATTACATTTTAATTAAGAATACTGTTGATTTATGTGAGGTAGTACACAAAAAGGCTTTAGTATAAGCACTCTTAAGCGGATGGGGAGAAACTCTAGTTCCCTAACCCTAACATGAAGACTTTGAACAGCTTTGCTCTAAGGAACTAGAAGTAAAGGCAAATTCTTATTGGATATCCCAGATCAGAACTGGGATCCAATTCTTGCATTCCTAGCTTTGTAATCTGACCTGCCTAGGATCATCAGATGGCCACATCCCTTTTCCCTGGTTACAGATCATTTACTTGTGTGCTTATTTATTATATGTATACCCCACTTTTTTCCTTTTTTAAAGAACCCAAAATGGCTTCCATAATGCCCCTCCTCCTGCTTTCTCAATTTTATCCCCACAACGATAACCCTGTGAGGTAGGTTGGGCTGAGGGTCTGTGATGAGCCCAAAGTCACCCAGTTGGCTCCATGGCTGAGTAGGGACTAGAGGTAGTCTCTGTCCCAGTCCTGTGCTCTCAACCACCACACCACACATGCTCTTGTTTCCAGCTCTCACATGTTTTCACCCATTCTGAAAGGCCGAAATGTTTCTTTTAAGGCTTAGTTACTCGTAGTGAGAACTTTAAGTTAATTTTCAGTTAAAAAATACTGGCATTTTTGGTATGCCAGTATGGCCACTGGCATGTGGCCTTCAAGAAACTGAACTGACCTTTGAATGGAAAATGGTTTCCTGTTATGGTCCTCAATCAAAATAATCTTCCAAGATAACAAGGGAAGGCTTAAATTAATAACAGAAAGTAGTTGCTGTAAAAATGCATATAATCCAAAAATTAAATAGAGGGAATAATAGTAAAGTTTTTGTTATTGCTGTTTTGCATTTCAACTGTGTATATCCAGTAAGGTTAATTCAGTATCTTTCCCAAAGGCAAAAGAAATCCCATTTTTAGAAATCTAGTACAAGTACTGTATAATAATAATTATTAATGTGGATAATATTCTACAACCTTTCAAGCTCTTTTATTTATAGTCTTGTCAACACAACTCTATACTGCCCATCCCAAAAGATTTCTTTAAGTAGGCTGGGGGGTGGGGGTGGGAATTGGGAGGGTGTGCATGATAAAAGGAAACTAATTGGACCCAAAGGCACTCTGAGTCATAACTGTCACATGAAGAAGCGTATCCTAGATCAGAGGTTGGGAAACATATATAATTAGTACAGGGCCTTTCAGAGTAACAGGCCAATTTGGAGAGATTAGTTTGTGCTGGGGAACGGCCCTAACAACATACAGTTATGATGTGGCTTGAATTGCCCTGTGAATTGCCCTGTGAAATGTCAAAGCCTGTAGAATTGGAAGTAACTATCTTCGTCTACAGTGTACAAGAAGCATCCAAACATGGCATAAAAGAACAGCCCTCTCATATTGGCCCAAGCTGGTCACAAGTATAAGCCAGAGTTTCAGTTTCAGGGGAGAAAAAGTGATTTCTCACTGGTCATAATTTCAAGAACATTTGCTGTCACTACTTTCACTCCAGGAGCAGAGTGACACAATGAAGCCTCACCCATAGAGCTTTGGGGCATGACCAGCAGCTGTGCTTTAGCAAGATGCTTTAGAAAGAAGCTGTTTCTGTAGTAGTTTAATCTCTCCTTCTTAGAATTTCATATGTGAATTTTCAGCTCAACCTTAGTAAAGTTAAAAGAAAATCCAAAAAACAATTTAACTGAAAATATTTCTAGCAGTGTTAGGCTCAGTTAACTAATCAGAGTCTGGATCAACTACTCCCACTACTAATCTATGGGTATGTTCAGATGATATAAGGAATTTGGGCTTACAGAATACAGGTTTGAGGCCTCCAAAGTGCCCAACAAATGATTGAAAAAAAGCAGGCACCCTGAAATCATTCTTCTTCTCTCAGTCCTTCTGGAGGCATTGAAGATCCCTCACTCCCCAGCACCAGTCAGTGGCAACAGGGATGGGGGGGGGGGTGAGAATTGATCTGGGAGCTCTCACCCCAGTTCTGAGTTAGCCAAATCCAATGAGGGTTATAGACACTTCTCTTGAGATCAGCAGCAGAACCCTCTCACTGTGCTGTGTCCACCCAGCACTGCAGGTACTTAGAGGTGGTATCTGGGAGGGAGGGAGGGAGGGAGAGAGAAGTCATATTCTGTTTGGTGTCCCTTCAAGATGTTTCTCCACCTGGTGCTGACACCAAATAGCTGCAGTGCTGGGTAGAAAAACAAGTTGCATTAGGCTAAGCCTCCTCTAGAGGAGGATAAGCAGAATGAGCTCAGCCCAGAGCTACCAAGTGGCTATGGTGCTGAGCAGAGGGGTGGAGTGATAGGAAAAACGGTACTTTGCCTGGCCTCCTCTAGAGGGAGAGCAAGCAGAATGTGGCTCTCCTGATGCTACTGCCAAACCTTGTAGAGAAAGGTTGCTCACTTGATAGCAAGAGACAAACTGCTCTGCTCTGCCTAGTCTGCAGTACTGAGATGTGCGGTTCACCCTGCACTGCTATGGACGCTACACTTTAGCTGCTGTCTGCACTGGCATGGGGAACCTCTGATGGACATTCCCAAGTATCACTTGGGTGCTTCAGGACCCAGAACTGCCTGGCCACTCTTTTGCTGTTCTTGCCAAGAGGCTCTGTGGTAGTTTTGGCCACCCGTAGATTTGTTGCAATATTGGCAATTGCACAACTGCTCAAGCCCAGGAGTGACTGATAAACCTCATGATAAACCATGACTTCTTGGGGTAGCTTATAAATCCAGAAGCTGGGCATAAAAAACATGGCAGACTGGACCTGGGCTTAGCATGCCCTGTGGACCCAGTTAATATTTAGAAGCATGGTTGCTCTTTTTAATTTTAATAATGCATTTAGAGTTTAGCTCAAATGAGATACATTACCTAGAAACAGCCACGATCATCCTGCCAATTTGTGGAACACTTAACATAGCAATTCACAGTTCTCACTTCACACTTTAAGTGCATTTTCAGAACACTCAGTTTATCAACTGCTCTGAAATATTTCCAACATTCTTCCATGGAACAAAATACCACACATACAAAAGAATAAGAGATGCCTATTTTCAGGTACTGAGATTAGCTCTCATATTATTCTAGAATATACAGCATACATAATTTTGGAGGACAGTCACTATTCAACAAGATGTAAATAAACTCAGTGTTAAGTTATGCTTGCTAGTACCATGGTTGCCTATGTATATACTCTGGAAATAATCACAGCATAATCCAGTAAAGGGTTAGGCACTGACCAGATCCATTTTTTTCAATGGGAAAGTTAAACACAAACTTAAATCAAATTCAGATCATGTGTATTTAATTATGGCTGGATTGTGTCATTGGCTTCTTAAAGAGCATGCTACATGAAAACAGTTGGCTGAATACAGTCATAGTGATTCTGTTCAACCACTATACAAGTCTCCATGTTTCATGCATTTAAATATTAAAAACCTATTGGCAAAGCCCGATAAGTTAAACATGCTGCAAGATAAGTGGTACCATGAGTTTAGAAATAAGATCATGTTGCTAAAGGCAAGTTAAGTAAATGCCACGAGTTTTGCAACAGGGCAATGACGCCAGGGCAGTAACCCTCCTTTGAGCTACGGAAAAAAAAAGTTTTCCAAGTAAACAGACCTAACAAAACCCATCTATAAGCTAGAAAACCATAATGGGTGTGGGAGTTGTCAAGTGAATTGCAGGATGTTCTATGTATGACTGGCTGTATGCAAGGCAGACTAGGGTATGTGTTTGATACAATGAGCTGCTGGCTCTCTTCCATTAAAGCCAATGTAACTGACATGGAACTCTTCAGAAAAATGCATACATGTAGCTAGATAGCTTTCAGGAACATGATGGAGCCACACACTCAAAAACTGACAAGTTAAACACATTTCACTGAGAATCTCAAGGAATAAGACATCATTCTGACAATGAGGAAAATAATCCTTTAGTAGGGACTCATTTCCTAGGTAACAGACTGATTTCCGCTCACACCAAAATATACATCTCCAGGATAGGCAGGGGTGAGAAGGACATGATCTCTTGCAGGGGATGATTTAAGGTTCAATCCCACGCATGTTTGATAGAAAAATGTCTGAATACTTTCACTGTCCCACCAGCCATGTTGGAAACTTTAGGACTTCTGTCTAAACACGCACAGGAAAATGGAAACCCCTATGCCAAAAGAATGTAGGCTGTCCCCTTCTTTATTTAAGGAATGTAGGCTGTCCCTTTCTTTATGTAGGCTGTCCCTTTATTATTCTTTATTTTATCAACCAGGATGATAAAAAGTTTGCTCCATAGGGCTTTTCATTATTTTAAATGTACCACCTCCATACTCTAGTTTTGAGATTTTTGTCTGCTCTTTATTCTGCTATCGGTGACAATTAACGTTTTTAAATTGTTTTAAATGTTAGTTGTATGTTACCTTGGAGCATTATTTGGGCCAAAAGGCAACTCATAGATTTATAAGTAACTAAGAACAATGAGTGGGTGTGATGACTGCATAGGGAGTTCCCTGTCTGCTGAGAAGACTGAGGACAT